GGTTTTGTATGTTTTTAAAGATATCTGGGCCACATGGTTAGAAAGATAAATGCTTAAATGGGAATATTAATTTTAATATTTTTCCCTTTAACCAGTTTACTGACCAAGTCCTCTTCCCCTTCCTCTTCTATTCATGTTGAGTAACTGAAACTGGAGTTTCCAGGTTACTTGATCTTTCTAGGAATTTCTGGATTGATGACCTATGCAAAAGTAATATATCACTGTTCTCTGAGAGGTGACCAATTTGCTGACAGGACTCCTATAAAGACTAATTCTAGGTGACATCCGTCTTTGACTCATCACATCAGGCAAACCTTTTCGCAGGATATCGTCCTCAGCAGCGTCAGTCAGTCATAAAGTCACAGACATGAAGCCACTTTGTGACCCACCTTGCTCTAGATCCTTAGCTTTAGCTCATTACAAAGTTTTTGACTGTGTCTCACAATTCTTGCCATCTTATTGCTCGTGAATGTCTCACTGCACCACATCCTGTCTAGCATCTTCTGATTTAGCACTGCTGCACTCTGATCCCTGGCAAAATTCAAGAAACAGGTTTTCATGCATCACTCACTATAGGAACATCTTGCCAACCACGTGTCATTGATATATAAGCAAAGTTCCTTTGGATTTACCTCTTTGTAACATGGCCGAACTTCCTTTTGTTTAGTTTTAAAAGCACTCTAGTAATGGCTTCCCTCTCCAAACTTCTGATGTATTTGTATTACAAGCACTTCTCTGGGAGAGGAACAAAAGCAAAACTGTCATTGAAGTACAGTACCTTAATTATTTGCCTAACAGCTGAATGTTTGACTATGCCCGAGGGAAGTGCTAGTGAGCAATGCAAAATTCATTTGCCTGTAGCAATATTATTGTAGGGCAGATCATTAATTTAATAGGGAATGAAATTAACATGACATGCAATTTTATTTCTGATATTTTATAATTTCTGAAAGCTATACTCTTAATATGCTTTATAGACCTTATGTTTGTGTGGTGCTTGGCTCTACTATGTTGTAGAAAAGGCCCAGTTTCATTTAGTTAAGGCATGGTGGAATTCATCTTACCCAGCATTAGATGACTATAATAAAAATGTTTACAACGTAAGTGGTCACAGCAAGCATCTTTAACGGCTGCTGAGGAAAAATGCACGTATTTCTGCATATGTTGAGGCACAGCTAATCTCATTCAAAAATAGATGCCTAAAGTAAGTCATAGCCTTACAAAATGCCTTTCCCAGTTTTGGCTATAAAGAGTGTTTTGGATTTCTACCCCAAAAATAAATGCCTGAAATTAGATCAGTTGTATGATATGCTTCCTGCTGTATTGTGTCAGAGGTCTATAATAATAATAATAACATTAATAATAACAGTAGTAGTAACAACAACGACATTAGTTTTATTCTTTGGGAACACTGGACTGTGAAATGGCTTGTATAATTTAGAAAACATTTCTTCTGAACACAAAAAGCACAAAGTGAAGAAAGCAAGATCTAAAATATCTATAGTCTTTTCTTAAAATTCTAAATCTGTTGGTTTTAGTACTGCACATTCTGAAAGGTGAACAATGTAGATTTCAGGGGCAGAAGTAGACCTGTAGAAATGGAGGCTTGCTGGAAGCCCCATAGAAATAATACTGGTTTTGGAGGGTTGAGTTGGTTTTTTTTCTCTAAGAAAAAATAGAAGGAAAGTGCTGAAAGCAAGAAATAGGTGGAATTAAGACAATATTAAATATTTCCTATTGCCTTTCTTGTGCTTTTTGCTTCCTAAATTTCATACTCATTAGGTTTCTAACTTAGTGTACTTCAACATTTTCCATAGCATCAATGACAGAAATGAACTGGTTTGGTAGTTGGCTACTGAAATTTCCCCATATGACTGTTCCTTTTTAACAGCTGGGATTTTTTCTCTTGTAGAGTAATTTTGATACATGCAGTAATTATGTGCAAATATAGATTATATTTAAGGTTGAACTATTCAAGGCACTAGAGATGAAACATAAGAGACCTGTGTCTCTACAGTAAGCTGTAGATTATGTGCCTGTGTCCACAACTCGTTTAAACCATTAGTTCTTTGGAGAGTAGAACAAATGATGCTGGATTTCCTATTGTTTTCCATCCCCTGGCTGGAATCTCTTCTGTCTAAAAAGATATAAACTCTACTAGAAACTTTTCCTTCAGCTGGAGGATTTCCAATGTCTGACATTCTCATTTCTAATAAGCTCATGCAGCAGTATTTTTTCTCAGTAGTGTTACTAATAGGTTCTCTCTCCTCCAATTGGCAGTAAGTTTTCATTCCTTTTATATCTTGGAAATTTTTATCCCTCTGTCAAATTATGTTTAAATTGGGCAGTGTGTTCAAGGGTGGCACGCAAATGGCTTTTCTCACTAGATTAAAGAACAAGACATATTCTGTTGCATTTGTCCCAGGAAACTAATGGGAAGACATAACATGTGGCTAACCTAATGTAAGTGCAGGTGTAGCTAAGACTATAGTTGCTGGTTTTGTTGTGGTGCTTATTGCTGTTTTTGGTAGGTGTGTTTGTAGCCTTCCCCTTTGTCAGTAACAACAGAGATCAAAAAGAGCAGAAAGAGGCAGGGCAAGGAGTGCAGCGTGATACTCCAGTAACCATTTCCCTTCTTTTGTTTACACAGTACCGTTGCCTTTATGTGAAATTGCACAAGTGTGGTGGTTGGTTTTTTTCTAGTAGACAGGTCAGTAAAGAAATATAGAGGCTTATCTTTGAAGCAGAGTGGAAGCATATGGAAGGGCTACCTAATTTTTCAAGGAATAGAATGGAAGGAACTGGAAGGGGAAAACCAACCTCCATTTGGCTCTTCCTCCAGTAATTAAGCCATGAGTGAACTGAAATACTTAGATATGTTTCTCTGCTGTTCAGAGGAATTACTTTATTCACTGGCTTGTGTACAGAAGTGTTAATTTCTAAAGGAAATTCCACGTGCATTTCAGACGAGCCTTGTTCTGTAGCATCACCTTGTGGGAAGGAAATCAGCCTACAGCCAGTCACACAAGCCAGTGTTCCCCTAGACAGTTGCTGAGTGAGCATCTGCTTTCAGTGAGCTGAACAGGTTATTTTATTCTTGCTGTGGAAATTAGAAGATTCTCCTGAGTAATAACAAATGCATCCAATAGGATGATATACAGAACTTGATTTGTCATGCCCTTTTATCTGTGGCATCCAGAATCCTTACACTGACAAGAAATGCCTTTTACTGTGGAAAGTCAGGGAACAGATGGAGGTAAACTGTACATGCGAAAGTAAAGCTATGCTATATTTTATCAAAAAGGTGTTAATCTAATTGGAGATATTCAGTCTGTTGTATAAATACTTGGTTTATAGTCAGTGAAATTGATGCTAGCTCTTTTCAGCTATTACCTTTCCAACAGAAAAAAAAAAAAGTAGCATTTTTAACTGGACCCTAGAGTGCCACCTGTTTGCATTTGTTGTTTCTGGATTGCTTTTTTAGACTAAGAAAAATTCCATGAAGCTTGCCTTTTCAATAAACATTTTCTGTTGGTTTACAGTTGTACGAATCCCATTAATTGTAGACACAACAGCTTCATTTTTGCTGAGAGTGAGAGATTAGGCTGAGACATGCTCAGATTTTAGGCTAGTGCTTAGTGCCTTGCAGCTGGAGTTAAATGACTTTCATATCATCCCCTCAAAAACTTTGAGGGATGCTTCCTGTACTCCTGCATTGCTTTGGCTTCAAAAAGGGAGCCTACTTCTGCTGATAAATATATGGGCACTTTTGTTTGAGAAGGACTGTGAAGCTTCTTCTGATTTTTGTAAGAGGAAATTTAGTCTTCAGCTTAAGGACAATGCCATCAACAGCTGCCAGCCAGAGATGCTGACTTGGTCCATGTTAACCGTTTGGTTTCCCTGGCTGAGTGTACTGCTTGCTGTCCTGGCCTTTCATTTCCCAGTGTTTGAGTGCACAGAAACCATACGTGTTCAGTGAGACTGCAGGGAAGATCTTGTGCTACTGCTACAGCAGAGACCTTGGAAAAGATCCCTGGCATCTGCTTTCCTCACCAGGAGCATGTTGCTACAGTTATACCTGTGTAAAAAAATCTGGGAGGACATATTTTGCTCTATTGAAAATTGACTCTGAAAACACATCTCAGCAGCATACTCAGTTGGGGGCATTCATCATATCATGAAGATAGGTCATTGCAAAAGAGTTTAATAGAATTCCAATAAGCATTTGTATCTCTCTAAATCTTCTTAAGTGACATAGGCAATTGTACCTAACCCAACAGTTAAAAGCATGTAAGCTTAGGAAGGGCATCGGCATAGCTATAAACTGGGGCGTGTATCAGGGATACTTAATCTTAATGAAAACAATTCCTAGGAAGATGTGAAAGCTGTTCCTAAAATCATACAGTGCTGATGCATAAATTCTAAACCAGTAAGAGCAAAAATTGTTGGGTTTAGTGAACAAAATACTGAGTTTTAGAAGCAGGCTGCATGGGTAAATGCGATCTAAAAGATGGTAGGCATCATCTCCAGTCTCTCAGGATACAGATGATCTTCCAGTGCTTCTGGCAGTCTGATCATATTGAGGAAGTTCTGCGTGATATCCTATGTTGTGTGTTATTTGGAAGTACCAATACAGTTCTGCAGAAAACTTGGATCATCCACAATTTTTGTAATTTCTAAAAAAAGCATCTCAAATATATTTTGATTAATTCTTGTTCTTTTTCCCTTGAAAAAGGAGAAAATTAGTGTACTCTGGAATGAATGTGACTAATTTGTATGCATCTAAGATAAAATTTATTCCTGTATGTACCAAATGTGTAATGGTTGAGTTCTTTACCTGTTTCTTAGTTTTAAATCTTTAAAACTTTTGGATTGTAATGTCCAGCTAAGACACACATCTTACCCAGTATACAGGTTACGTTAACCTCAAAAAATAAAGTAGTATTTAACAAAAAAAATAAAAAAATTAATAAATATGTCTTTATCATTTTGTTTTGCAGGAGGTAATAAGCTGAAGAATCAACATTTTCGCCTAAACTGGGCATGGATCTCCTTAGAAAAGGAGTATTATTTAGTAAATGAAGACTCCAAATATCTTGATGTTGTTCTTAAACGGAGAGGTTACTTGGGAGAAACCTCTTTTATAAGTAAGTTCAATTTTAACCTTATCGATTGTTTCTGTAAATCACTGGCCAGCTAGTTGATAAAATGTGTCAATACAGCTATATCCTTTTACTGATGTTTCATATTAAGCAAGATAGATTCAAAAGAGTATGTTTATTTATTAAAGCAACTATCTTTTGTTATGCTAAGTATATGATTTCTTTAGTCATAGGTGAAATTTTGACTTTTTTTGTCTTCTGCAATTAATTTTTGACTTAACAATCCAAGACCCTGTTCTTCTTTCTTTGATTTGCTTGATAACCACTGTTGTATTTGTTCCACAAAATCCAGTTCCTGTAATGAGAAAATACAGCTGTAGCAAATGGAAAGACAACAATAAACATAGACTGTTTTCCAGGAGGGCTTTTGTGAGCTGGTCTGATCAGCAACTACAAGCATTAGGCTCGTTTTCTTCAGTCAATGTTGGCAGTCAACTGAGGCTGATACAGGAGGTGTTGAAAGCTGTTTGCAGTGTCTGGGGAGTGAAAAGGTGAAAAAAGATTGTGTTATCACATTCTGCAACCTCACACCTGTCTCTGGCTTCTGGATCTGTTCCTGTTCTCTTCCTAGTGGTGCATTTGGACCAGGGAGCATTATCATTGTACAGTTTCATGTCGAAACCTATGGTGAGCTTACACTGCTTAGAAAAGGCACTTGATTTAAAGCTGGTTTTGCAGAGATATGTAATCATCTACCTGGCATGGAGCACAAGCTCATGCTTAGAAATCAGGTTTCTGTTTAAGTCTCTTTCGGAATAAGAATCCGAGTTTCAGGTATTGAGATGTAGTTAGGACACCTGTTTTGGCATGAGATTTAAGGGATATAGGCACTAACTAGGTGGATCTAACTTAAAGGGCTCTGTTTTGAACAGTGAACTAACTATGATAGTCTATTTCTTTTAAAGAAAGTAAAAGAATAACAGATGAATGAAATACAAAGTTAAGGACATGTGATTTAAATTAATTACTGGTACCAATTAACAGATACTGATTTGACTTCTGATCCTTTGTTTACAAAATTTTCTACCTATGGATTCAAGTGCAATTTCTGAATTGAGCTGACTCAAAATCCAGCCAAAGCAGTTTGAATAACTTGCCTCTGACTACCTTAATCCTGCAAAAAGGAATTACAGAGTTGGAAAGAACATAAAAGATATTGGTTAAGATGCTTACTTGCCTTTCTGGTCCATGTCCAGTAGCAAAGGGGCTGAAGGGTTATAGGTGATGTAAAATATTGGCTATGACTTAGGAGGAGGCACAAGCAGGAAGCAAGAAAGGCAAGGTT